AAATCACGGTCCTCCTACCATCTGTATGGAAATATGGAAATAAAAGCTAATTTCTACTTTTAGTCCACTGAGAAGGGCTTGCCTGTTTTCTAAATGATATTGTTTTCTTTTAATCTATTCTTCTACCACCTGTATGGCCAGTGGATCACTTTTGTTCTCTGGCTTGCTCTGAATTCGAATGAGAAGAGATGGCTGCACAGAGCTTTTCTGTCCATTGGGCCCGATACACACAGCCGGCCAGGGAGAGTAGCACATAATAAAAGAGAGTGTGTAGACTTGGTGACCTTGAAATTGTCTAACTCCCTGGCAGTTCTATTGTTCCCTGATTCTTTTGCCCTTTTCTATCACTCTAAATCTTTTGAAAAATAATGTAAAATTTGACAAATAATTATTAATCCATGCCAAATAAATTACTCCTTTGCATTCGGAGACTTTCTCAACAACAGAGTCAAATCATTTCTCTCTTGAAACCTTTGAGTCAGATGAGTAGAGCATCCCTGAGCTGCTATTTTCTATTAACATTTTAAAAGTAGGTAGATACAAAGAGCATTGAATCACACGAGGGAAAAGTGCAAGTATCAATTGTACTTTAGTAGTTTCATTTGATAAATATATTCACAGTACCCAGATAACTAAAGGGAGTTAAGTAATAGAACATGGAAGGGAGCAATGTTCTCAGACATTTTACCAATTAGATGACTAAGATAAATCTATACACTCAATAGGCTAATTAACTCCTGATTGATAGTTACCAAAGGGCCATAGAAATGTCAACTATTCTTTATCGGCGCAGCTAGAGATTCTTAACAAAGCTGTAGGTGTTAGTCTTGATAACCTTTATGAAAACTTGCACTTCTAGAATTCAGTGAACAATACCATAGTATTTCTTCGATTAACAAGAGCCACGCTTCTTGTGTGAAATCATTTATACACACATACAAATGTCTAAAGCTTTTCTGTGCTTCAATTCAGAACCAACGTCACAAAACTCACCTTTTCCAGTTACAGAATGAATCACTTATTGTCTTTTGTATAAAAAATTTTGTAAAGAAAGAAAAAAGGATGCATATGAACTCGCAAGGAGTGTGTCACCCAACAGTGGGACGAAGATAAAGACCTGGAAAGGTTATAGTCTAAGAAAAATTGGTTAAGAGTTGTAAGGCTACAAGTTCATGGTCAATCTCATGAGCTGCAAGAAGAGAAAAGCGAGCCGTGTGGACTTTTAAGAGAGATGTAGGAGCAGACAGAAGGTGGGAAAATAAGAAATATCTTCAGTGAGAAGAACTACAGGTGAGCAGTGGTCGAGAAGTTTGGAAACGGAGGTAGAGGTTAAACCATGGAAGGCCATGTAGTCCAGCACAGTATAAAGGTACATTGAAGGTTGCTGCATGAGGACATAATATGATCTATGTGTAGTGCAAATGGATTTTAGAATGAAGGATAGGCTAGTCAATGAACAAGAATGGAGGTACCTGAACTTGCATGTTGGCTAAGGCCACTGTACAAGCAAGTTGTGAGGCTACAAGGCCCAGGTAAGTGCATAACAATGTATAATAATGTAAAACATGTTGGACGATTGAGTGAGGGAATTCTAGTAGCTGATTAGATGTGCTGACCGAGGGAAAGAGTTTTGAGTTTGTGGGACAAAAATAAGGCATGATTACAGTCCAAGTTATTTTTCTTCAGTTTAATGTAGTTAGAAATATCCACCGACTAAATGCCAACTCAGAAACTCTGTGTCTTCCAGTTGATTCCAACGCACAGCAGCACAATAAGACAGGACAGAATTGCGCCAATGGTTTCTGGAACTAACTCTAGGAAGTAGAAGCTTTATCTTTGCTGTGAGTTGGTATCAACTTAATGGCAGTGAATTTGGTCTTTTTGGTGGTTAGGACCAAAAATGAATTCCTGTTATGTGGTGACTAAACAAAGACATCCTGAGATGAAGACTTAGAAGAATCATGTGGTTCTGTCAGCTTGTCTGGGTCAATAAGCGTTTCTCATAATTAGCCTTCAACCCCGGTAAATGTAATCTATCTGTATGTGACTACCTGAAGTATAAATTCCAAACAACAATTGTAGAATCAGAATATATTTTCAACGTACAGTATTCCGATTTCAAACAAGATACCACGAAGGCAGCCTGTGCTACCATTGGCCTTCTCACTGGAGTCACCTTCTAAGAGATGCCTGTGCTTTGTCTCTAACTTGGGGTTAATGCATTGGTTTGGCTGTTCTAGGGTAAAACCCTTATTAGTGGTAACATGAGGAAGAGCAATTTGGGGATGATGGTAAATTTGAGAATTTTATTGAACTTGATAATTTGAGGTATTGGCAAAAAATTCAATAAGTAAGGACTATGCCATAGAGCAGCAAAACTGGCAAAAAGAGATGGACAGGACCAAAGAAAGTGAAATTTTGCCCCTCGTCCTGGGAAACGGGGCGCGGCCAGAAAGGTGGCCGCCCCCTCGCCCTTCACGCACTGCACATTTGTGGGGAGCCTGGTGCTAAACCATTCGTAGACGACCTGTTCTGGGTCAGGGTTTCGTACGTAGCAGAGCAGCTCCCTCGCTGCGATCTATTGAAAGTCAGGCCTCGACACAAGGGTTTGTTTTTTTGTCATTTAAAAAAATAAAATAAAAGAAAAGAAAAAATAAAAAGAAAGTGAAAATTTGAGGTATGGAAGCACGAGCTGTAGGTGAAACTGAGTGAACCATTTTGTTATTATTCACTAATTTGCTCCTGCGATGGTTAAAGTCATTGTTAACTTTTCTAAGTGGTTTTGCAGAAATTTCAATCACCTTCTATTTTGTGATCTGATGTAAGTAGCTAATCAGTTGTAAGAGAAGATTCCTCAACCCACACGCCCACAAGTTAGAGAAAGGATCATGAAACCTTGGCACGTATGCTTGACAGAAGACTCTGCGTCATGGGAAACATGATGAAACCATGACGCACCCCGTAGCATGCATGACCCGAAGAACATTGTGCTGAGTGAAATTAGTCATTCACAGATGGATAGATGGTATCTGAGACCACTATGATACGAAAAACCCCTAAGGCAAAGGCTTTCATACAAAAGGAACAGATTTTGGCAGTTACCAAGTAGGAAGGGCAAGGCAAGGAAGATGCAGCAATAGACTGGACTCTAGGCTAGTCGCTAGAGGGTTGACAGGTGCTGGCCTGAGGGACAGGAATGATGGAGGACCACAAGAGGGCGGAGCAGAATCCAGGGAAGAGGGTGCAGTATACAACTGGGAGGGTTTTCAAAAAGGTCATGGTAAAATGGAATTAAAAGACAATGGAGTTTTTCCACAAACTTTTTGAAGTTGAAGGAGGATTATTTATTCCTAAAGAGAAATGAATGTCTGATAGATGCTATGATATGGGTGAACCGTGAAAGCATTACAGGAAATAAGTGAGGCCCAAAAAGACAATTATTGTATGATCCCTCTTATTTGAACTTTCTAGAATAGGCAATGCCATCGAGACAAAAGAAGGCATGCACTACCAGGGGAAGAAGAGAGGAAGGAAGGAAAAAATTGAAAAAAAGAAATCATATCATGATAAACTCAAAAACTGAAGGGAGGGAGCGAGGAAAGGATGCATGCTTTTCCTATAGTTTTAGCATATTTAAATCAGTAGGGTGAGATCATCCAACTCTTGCTCTAGAAATCAAAGAAAGGCATATAAAAAGCACGTTTCGCTGGTCCTCCTCCACGTGTGGCATCGCACACATGGAAGACTCCGAGGCTTAGAAGGGTGAGGGAATGCTCAGTCATTCAACCAACACTTTACTCAACAACACTAGAGCAAGGGGTCACAGCACAAAGACGATCAATATACACCCACTCGCAGAGAACCCAGTGTTCTCAGGAGGCAGACAAGGAAACATCTACCAGGAATACCACATGTTGTGGGGTCTGGATAAAGGTCATGAATTGTGCTATGGGAATCCAGAGAAAGCAGAAGTACCTCCATCAGAATGACAGCGGAGCAAGCGTCGACTCAAACCATTGGACGAGCCTTTCCCCAGCCAATGGACACTGCCATGGGTGACACAGCCATCTCATCCTGTTCTATTTGTTCACGGTGTACTAGTGCACGTTTTCATCAGTCACGGTCAGAAGATATCCTGGCTAAAGTTTTCCCAAAGGTGACACTATAAATGCTTCTTCCCTATTGCCATCTGTACTGAGAGCAGAACAACAGGTGTGCATTGGCGCTTGGGCTGAGATGTGATCTATTAACAGGCCGTCCATGAATCACGCAGGGCTTCCGTTTGGGTAAACCTCGAGGAACACCGGCCTTATATTTTAAAATGCCAGTTTCAGAAACCCCCCTGGCTTCTTCTGCCCGGAATGAATGGGGTATTTTCAGGAGCTGTCTCCGGGGGCCATTTAGAGGTGATTATTTCACCGTGAAGACTCCGTTAAAAAGAGTAATTGGTATCAATAACACTTACCTGTGTGTGCAGAGGAAAAGTTACTCAGTCATAACGAGCCCAGAGTCACGGCCACTACTTAAAACACGGCAGCGTTTCCGATTTATGAGAATAGCGCCTGTGTGCAATAATGCCCTTATTGGGGTCTCCTCAGATCATGTGGCTTGCTTGGGGGTGTATTCGCTGTTACATCAAATCTGCCATGCAGCTGTAAGCTAAGGCGCTGACTACCAGGATAGAAACGACACATTCTGACAAGGTTGCGTTACCCGTAGTTAGATGGAGCAAGGCTCCCAGTGCTCTGTGCTCACTGTCTATCTCCGAAACAGCTACAGAACGCTTTCAAAATGCAAACTCTACAACAGAACTGATCATGAAAATAATCGCGGAGAGACACTGGACACATGGGGAAACAATGCCCACCGCACAGGCAGATGGATGAAGCAGCGTGTGTGGATGTGACAGGGACATAAGGAAACAGACGTGGGGTTCGCCAGGGGAGGGAGCCCCTCAACAACGACGAGGACGACAACGACAACAAAGATCATCAATTAACCTGTTTTGTCAGAGCTGGCATTGATGGTATTGGTAGTGATGGAGGTGAAGGTAGTCTTTGCGCTGTCCTTGGCAGTGACAGATTTCTGCTTATTTTTCATGGCTTCCAGTGCTTTGAGCTTCTTGGCATGTTTCGTGCCTTTGTAGTGGGCCGCAGCCTGGCTCTACAAAGGAGAACAAAATGAACCATGCAATCAGGCTCATTTCTAAACTGGCATTCTCTGTATTACGGTAAATACAGACTCCCTTTCAATAGCAGGTACCATTCAAGCTAATCCGGGCCAGGACCAAACAGTGGGGGGGCTTTATTTAGAATGATGCTAGAAAGCAATGGGAATCAAATCTAAAATCTCCGGACAGAAGAAAGAAAGCTTCGATTGCTTCGCTGAAGAGAAATGCGGCTGAACACTAACCCACCGACATGTTCTTTTTGGAATTTTCAAAAATAAAAAGATTGAAATGAGCATCAACACCTGTACTGCCTTTGTTCTGACCCAGAAGGTGCTGGGCTCCTGAAGGGCAACGAGGGCCCTGGGAAAGAGCGGCTCTCACCTTTTGGGTTTGGGAAATGTGTTTTCTCTTTCTTCGGTGTGTCTTCCTAATAGAGTCCCCAATAGGTGTCTAGAAGAAAGAGCTCACGCCTAAGAAGGGAAGCGGGAACCCTGGAGGCTGGAGATTTCAAAAGCAAACGCACCGCTTAAGTCCAAATGGAACATACATGGCTGTTAGAATTGTTGTTTTGTTTTGTTTAGTTTTGCCTTTTCCTGGCTTCCTCCAGAGGTCAGTCTGAAAAATTCTAGGCAGTATCATCTTACACCACGGGGCTCTTTCATGTCCTGGCCCATGTATTTTAACTAACTAGTGGAGCCGAGACTCTTCTGTTTCCTGTCCAGAGATTTGTCTTTCTCTTTAACAGTGATATGCATTTTCATAATACTGTTTTCCTATTGAGATGGAAAATTATCATTAAAATATGTTTATGAATGCATATTTATTTGGGGAAAAAATCTTTGTGGGGCTAAATGAGGAGATTGTTATAGCCATTGTTATTTTCTATTCAAAAACTTTAAAAAACTACCTCACAAAGAAGAAATATCAGTGCATGACTACTCTTGTTAGACTACCCATCACTTCCCATTGCTTATTTAATTTTCCGAGAACAATAATTATCACATTGTTCTCTTTGTCACAACATGTGCAGGGGATGGGATGTTGTGTTATAATTTAGTTTAATGAGTAAATAAGTTGAAAATTCACACCTTCATTTGCATCATTCTGACAAAGATATCCTCAAAGGCCAGGTACCCTTATTGAAAGAACACTGGACAAGAAAATTATATATTAGAAACAGTTTGAACAGAGAGCACACTCATGCATTGGTTACAAGTTTCAAACAACACAAAACATCAAAAGACATCGTGTGAGCCAAAATATGAAGTTAAGACATGCTGTTGTTAATTGAAGAACCAGCGATTGATTGGATTGGCTTGATTCTACTTGGAAAATGGTACTTTGGTAGCCACAGTTGTGTCTCATTTGTTTGTTTTTTTCCCTTCCCTGTTCTCTGTATTAATAAATCAGACCTTCGGCCAAGGGCTCCAGAAAAGATAAAATTAAAATAAATCTTTATTCTCTTATATCACAATATATTGGGTCTTTTCCTGGCAGCTGGCTAAATACTTTCCTCTAACACAAATTCCTCCCTACTCTCTGCCCGTACCTCTACCGCTCGTGAAAGGACAGAGAGATTTATATCTAGTGTGCAATCAAAGACAGGGTTTAGATGGACAATGCTGTCTTCGCTTAGACTTCCAAAATATACCTTTTTAAGGTTCCTAGCAAATATTCTTCTCACTGGTATTTCAAAACAATTATGACATTATAGAAACACAATTAGAGGCACAAGGATAGATCTCATTTTTTGAAATCAAGATTTTCTTTCCTAAAAGAATGGAGCAATAGAAAGCTTAGCCCAAACCTCAACACAACACTCTTCTTTACAGATAGAGCTAAGCCAATGTTCTGCAACAAGTGAAATGATCAGGAATTGTGTGAAACTGGCCGGGACAAAATGACTAAAAGTTAGTGAGGTCCACTTAAGACACCCGATACCTTAAAAAACAAAACAGACAATACAAAATACAGGCACACACATATTGTTCATTGCACAACAGTCTCAAAACATCCTGTTAATGCTTCTTAGGACTAAAAACGGTTTAGAAACAATAGTAATGGGGAAAAATATCCACTGCCATCAAGCCAATTCCAACTTGTCGCCATCCTAGACAGGGTCTCCTACAACCCAACCATCAGGTCGATTGACTCCCAGGGAGCCTTGAGGACAGGGCAGAACGGCCCGTGTGCGTTTCCAAGACTGAAAGTCTTAATGGAAGTAGGAAAGCACATCTTTCTTCTGGGGAGTGGCTGGTGGTTTCAAACTGCTGACATTGTGGTTCCCAGTGCAATGCACAAGCACACTACCAGGGCTCCTCACAGTGCTCCCTGGGCTTACAAACCTTTACAGAAGCAGACAGCTTCATCCTCTCCCCCAGGAGCTGCTTGGTGGGTGTGAACCACTGACCTTGAAGTTAGCAGCCCAGAAAAATGAACGACACCAACAAAAGAACCCCAAATGACAAGCACAGACATTCATGTCCACAGTGCACTGAAAAGACCTCTCCCTGCCATGGAGTTGATGCTGACCCCTGTGGTTTTCCAAGACTGTAACTGGGGACAGCAGGAGAAACTCCTGTTTTTGCCCCACAGAGCTGCTAGTGGTTTTGAAATGCCGACCAGATGGATAGCAGGCCAGCACATAACCACTACACCACCGGGGCTTCCTAGGCAAGTAGAATTTCAACAATATTATAATGCTGATGGTGGTAGCGGAGGAGATTAATGTGACATCGATTAAAATGTCCGTGATGGGCTGGGGGTGAGGGTACATGCTGAAAATACGGGTACTTAAGTTTTTCTATATTGGCAGCTTCTATTTAATGTTTGTAGAATTTATCGGAGTGCTTATTACAGGCTTTTAATACTAATTTTTAAAAGTCTATTCTCAAACCAGTCTAAAAAAAACTAACAATCGGCTGCTTTTTGTGGTAGTTACATAATCTGGTGTCAAATTGTAGATTAAGATGTAGGGGTGGAGTATATAGCCTGTCAATCACGATATAGTTAATGAGGCCTCAGTGTTGGCATGGCCTTCTCCTGAGGACTCTGGGAACTCCTGTAATTCCTCCTTGGAGGCGGGAGACTCTCTCTCTCTCTCTCTCTTTCTCTCTCCTCACTCTCTGCGAGACATCCCTCTGAAGAAGACACATGGAGAAAGGCTGATGGAGCCAGATCTCTGCCAGTGCAGAGATGCTTCCACCACCACAGGATCCACAAGGCTTCCCACCCACTGGCCTGTGATCTTCCTGTATTCGGCATCATTGCATGTGTTTCGTGAGTCTGAAGAGGACTTTATAGATTGGTATCAGACATATGGGCTAATATCAGATTTATGGACTTGATCTGGGCTGGGCTGGGATGTTTATTCAATATTCAACTACTCTTGTATATAAAGCTCTTTCTTATACACATAGGTGTGTCTATGATTTTGTTTCTCTAGGCTGCCCAGACTGACACACCATTGAGTGGCTTCCTGTTCCTGTCAACCCCCTGTGTATCCCTAGTGGACATGCTCTCCATCAGGTTTCCCAGGAGTGATTTTCAGCAGTAGATGGCCATGTCTTCTGAGTGAAGAGGAACCGACAGCCTCTCACTAGAAGTTCAGTGTGTTAACTATTTTCAACTCCAAAGACTAATCTTCCTATCTATACCCTAACTCCAAGTCTATCTCGATACAGGAGATCAGGACTTGTGCAAAGAAACAAAACCCAGCTCACTCCTTTTAGATCCCTTCCTGGGGTTAGACAGATGCTACAGAGGCAATTCATCTTTCTGTGAGTGTAGTCAAAGCTACGGTAAGGGTGGATACTGCTGGGAGAGGGATTTAAGAAGCAGCAGTTGGCCAGAGATGTCACTCTGGAGAGAGGCAATAGGATGTCACTCAGCACCAAACTATACCCCCCCCCAACCCCCCAGGGCTGTTTCCCAACATTCAGCAGTCTCTGAATTAAATTGTGCTCAGAAATCTGGGAACCACTCGATTATTTTTCACAGGAATGATTTCTGGATTAAATATGTAATTGTACTACTTTATTACAGCACATTTTAAAATCCCACATTATATTTTTATTTTTTAAAAGATCTTTTTATCGGGGTATCTTATAGCTCTTGTAGCAATCCATCCATCAATTGTATCAAGCATATTTGTACAT